CCAGAGTAACAGTCCGTCAAAAAAGACCCTAACAATTCTTAATGTTCGTTCACAGCCAAGAAAGCCAGCAGCAAGAGTGTAGTTGTCCTGTTGACAGAGAGGAACTTGACCGCCAAATGGTAAAAACATCATTATCAACAAGTTAAAAGAAGTCGGAGCAAACAAAAACTAGTTTGCAGTCATTTAATTCCTTAGAAACCGTAAGACGCCCTTCTAGACAGGGGAAAAAAATAACTGATAGGGCTGTTGAAAAAGGGGGAAAAAGGAAGTGCCTGCAGCTGTTGCTAGAGATTTTATGGAATGACTCAACGCTGTGAGGCTTAATGTAAACAAACATTATCTGGCCCATAAGTGCAGTTAAATTTTGCAAATGCAGGTATATGTAATGATTTATCATTTTTTTTATAAAGGACATATTTCCCGACAAAGCCACCGAAAGGAAGATTCTTTCGTTTAAAATAAAATGCTCCAGCGATGGTTGCGATTGGAGTGGTGAACTAAGGGAAAAAGAGGTAAAGAAGCAAGCTATCGCGTCACTTTGTGAGTTAGCGAGTCAGTTGGTAAAACACTACTAGCACTGCGCCCACATTGCAGTGGACATGGATTAGAATCCCGTTCAAACTCGATTTGTATTTTTTTTTCAGAATTTGAAATAAAATGAATTGTGGCTTTTTTACGTCCTCCAATTAAAACGAACCATCGAATCATCTTTTGAAAACTACAATTCGAAGCAAATTTTGTTTTTTCACTTATTTAATTTATCCCTCAGTTTCCGAACTCAAAGCGCTAAAAAAGATGTCTGCGATTTGCCATATTCAATTTGGGGTTAGGGTTAGAAAATAGGATTACAAAAAATATGGAGTGATCGTAGAAAAATCGCTCTCGGAGAAAAAATAGTTAGAAATAAAAAATTCGCAGACGCTTTTTTGTTGTTTATATGTCAAACTAGCTACTGCCCAAATTTGAGGGCAAACGAAAAAATTCCCTTTGACTTGTAGCTTTCCGAAAGGGACCCAAAAGATGATTCGGACGCTCACATTTAAAGGTCGAAAAACTCGACAATTCATTTTTTTCAAAATTCTTGGTATAGTGTATAGCCAGCTCTATAAGCCTTAATTTGATATAGGGGTTTCGGTATTTACAGTTTAAACCGGACGCGCTACATTGCTTGGACGCGACACACCTCAAAGGTGCTCTAAAGCATACGGTAACCTTAAGCAGTTGTTACTGTGCCAACAAGAGATTTACTGTGGCTGGCATTATTGAATAACAAATGGCAGCTGATGTTAATGCATCGAGTGGGTATCGCTTCAAAATTACTTTCAGCGTACATTTCAGTGACGCTTGTAGTGAGAGTAATATTGAACCAACCGAGTAACTGTTGAAGAATACTAATTTGTAGTTTTATTTTTATACTAATACATTAACTTACTTTAACAGGATCATCTAGCGTCTTGCAGTTTCAAGCTTGTTTCTTGCACCAACGAAAACTGTCAAGTGACGATTCAAAGGAAAGAACTTGAAGAACACGCGACTAACTCGTGCCTGTGGAGGATTGTAGTTTGTGATCACTGTAATGAATCACATCCAAAGTGTCTGATTCAAGTACGTTATAAGCAGGCTACTCTCTTTAACAATTGTTAATCATTGATTTCCTAAATAGTTGGGCGGGTTGAAACAACTTGACGAGAAAACAATCGTGCGCAGTGCCGCCATTAATCTCAAATCCCCACTGATCCCGCAGTGAATGAGTTGCCAGCAATCGGATACCCGTGTTATACGCAAAGAACTCTGGGATCGTCAGAGGGCAAACACTGCAAGTCGCTAGAAGGAAATTTATGGAAAAAGTTGTTTCGACGTCCATAAAAAAAATTAACAAATCAACGTCAGTTTTTCTGCGTCTGTCCTCTTATTGATAATAAATTGCGTCATAACATTGTCAAAGTGGCTGTGGACCCACGAGCCGCAGGTGAGTGGTTCCGCAGTAAACTTCGATGATGTTATGACGAATTTTATCATCAATAAGAGGACAGACGCATAAAAAACAGACGTCAATTTGCTTTTTACAATAACAAGACCCAGAATAGTCAAATGCCGGAAATAAATGAGGGGAAAAGACTTCCTAAACTTACCGCGCCGTAAACAAAGATAAGTGAATTTTATTCAAAATGACGCTAACATTGTCAACAGCTTTCCTCGCTATTTGATTGGCTACTTCAAAAAGTCCATAAAATCTCATTGGTTAAAAAGTTGACAGTTTGACAGCTGAAAGTTGAACTTGAAAGCTTGCACAAATTAGAATTTTATTCGCCTGTACTCTTATTGATGATAAAAATGAGCCAATCAGCGCGCGAGAAGTTAGACATTACTAGCTTAAGACATGCTTAAGACATGCTTGTAAAAGCAAAACTTTAAGGTTTTGAACAACACAATGGCTACACAGCATGAGTCGCGCGATCTGTCTACTCATTTTATCAACCCCACACAGCACAATGCTCGCCACCGGGCAAATTCCCAATATTGTTTGTGTAACTGAGCTTCAAAATAAACCAAAAGTAGCCTGTACACAACTTAAGGCTTTACTGGGTTATTTCCTCTCGATTTATACCTAATTTTGTAATATTTTAAGACCTTTACGCGATGTAAATTTCACAATAAACCTCACGCAAGCGAGGGAGTTTATCGGTATATTCCCGGGGTAGATTTTATCACATATTTTACTGGTATTTCAACAAAAACTTACATTATCCACGTATCAACATTGCCCAAGTCCATTTGCGATAAAACAACGGCGAAAATGTGTTGATCTCTCCCCAAAATCGTATTTGGGACTTCGAAACAACTTTTTGCTATACATTTCGTTCTAGTGACTTGCAATGTTTGCCTCCTGACAATCCTAGAGTTCTTTGCGCAAACACGGATATCCGATTACTGGCTCGGCTCGATTTACTGGGAACTCCTTCATTAAGTCACCTAGCGTCAATTAAGGCATAAAAATTCATTAGTTTTATTGCAACGCCAAAAAAACGAAATGGTATTTCTACTCTGTGTATATTGTTAGAGGGCCCTGTGCTGTGTTGCATTTTACTTTACAGGACAAGATTCTATTCCTGCTCTGAGATGCAGTTTTTATTGGGCGCTTTCCATTAAACCAAACATTCTGGGTCACATTTCCATACATTTTCAGAGATGAATGTAACAGAATTTTCCACAGAGAAGAGGACAACCTCGCAAGCTATGTCCTAAATTCTCGAAAATTTCTTACCGGGAATTTCTGTTCCATTTTTAATTTCCGGAATTTTTAGTTGAATGATGCGCATTTCAGAAATTTAACAATGTTCGGATTTTCCGGAAAACCGTTCCAAGGAAATTTCCGTACCATTTGGTCCCGTTGGGAAAGTTCCGAGATTTTTGGTTGGACGGAATTTGCCCTTTGTCTCTTTACATGTCCAATTTTTCCAGGTTTTTGTTTCTTGATTGTTTTTTTTAGGCAGCATTGTCTCTTTAAACTCAAGGTGGTTAGTTTCTTTGTCTTAGTGCTCGAAAATGCTACAACCTCGTACCGGGAGGCGTCGTTCCCCTTGACCAGCGGTCAGGGAACGTGCGACTCTGGAAAGTTTTGATTGGAAGTCCTGCTTCCGATTGAATTGTGCATACCAGGCTGACAATCACTAATGAAGTCGCCGGTGTTTTCATTTCGATCCTGATTACCATTGTTTATAAAACCAGTTAAAATCGAACCAGTAACGGAACTCTCTAGAGTCGCTCGTTTCGTCAAGCTTGAGCAGCAGTGAGGAATGAAGACTCGAAGAACGAGCTTGAAAAGAACTGCTGAAAATAAAAGTTACTAGACGTGAAACATGTGTTTCCATGCATGTCCGTAGGATCATGTTGAGAGGTGTGAGAAGAAGCCTGTGGAATGCCCAAATAGTTGTGGCGAGATTATTGTTCAAGCAGAGGTAGGTGGCTCAATTTCGATCCACGTCTCAATAGGTTTGTATTTCTTTCAAGTTGTCTTTATATTAAAATTTAACAAAAAGAGTTTTAAACAGATCTAAAAAACGTTGAACAGAAAGGAACGGAATTGAACGGAAACATGACTAAAAGCTACATAGGCTACCAGCTCGCGTGGATGTAAACGAATTAAAGAAGAAATGGGTAGTAAATATCTCCAGAAGAAGACTGGGCAACGAAACATCGCTATAGCTACTGAGGAAAGGACTGAATTTTGCTATAACGCCACACACCGTACCCACGATGGATGCACTCGATTCTGTTGAAGCCGCCATATGCCACCTACCTCAAGAAAATGAGGACGTAACTAGAACGGAGGTTTACAGAGCTTTAAAGCAGGCTAAACCACCAAAACAATGAAACCTGACGAAAGCTTTCAAAGAACTAAAAAGAGACGAAAACATCGTAATCATCAGAGCAGATAAAGGGAATTGTACAGTCGTCATGGAGAAAACCGACTGCCGTAACCAGATTCAAGAAATACTGCAAGATCAGAACGTCTATATACCAATCAGCAATAAGAGGCGCAATCCAACATCAAGAACAGAGCTTGAGTTACAGAAAACACTCTTGGACCTCAAGAAACTTGGAAGCCT